CTCCTCTTCGGATCTTGGGCACTCACGCACACGCGCCCGGCATGAGTTTAAGCCACTGGGTCTGGGACTTGAACCGCGGTCGGCTACATGGGAGTCCAACGACATAGCCATTACTCTAACTGCTGGTCCCAGCCTGTGTGGCTTTTTGATTTGAAGAATCTTCACACAGGTCTCCACAGTGGGTACCATTTTACATTCTGACCAGAAGTCCATAGGGATTTTAATTTCTCTCTTACTGTTGTTTTCAAATGATAGCCATCCTAATGGGTAGAAGGTGGTATTTCATTGTGGTTTTGATTTTGAGTTTTCCTAATAATCTGTGGTGTCGAGCATCTTTTCTTCTTCTTTTTTTTTTTTTTAGAGAGTTTTTTGCTATAGGGTGTGTGTGCTTGTAGGAGAGACAGCAAGAAATCACCCCCCAGGGGAGATGGCCATGCCACAATCCCTGCTCCTCCATTCTCTTCCTGGGATCTTGGACACGCATGCACACGTGGCCAACATGAGTTTACGCTGCTATATCTGGGACTCGAACTGTGGTCAGCTATGTGGGAGCCCAGCTACGTGACCAGTACACCACCTGCTGGTCCCAGTTCTGAGAATCTTTTTGTGTGTTTATCAGTCACATGGCCTGGAGCACTGCAGCCCAGTCTGCCACCAGGCAGGGCCGTGTTTGATTTGCTGTAGGTTTCTGAATCAGTCTGAGGAGTAGTAACCTTGAGGTCTCAGGTCTTCTCCAGCCTGTGCTGGGCCCTGGGTCTGCATGGTGGCTTTCTAATTCCCCCACTAATGTGCAGTTGCTTTTGAGTGTTCTCATCTTCTTCTATGTCTGGCACCCAGAAGAGGGAGAAGAAAATAGGAAGGGAGGGAAAAGAAGTCTTAGGCCTTTAAATCCTCTGAAGTGACTTCAGCTGGAGGTGAAGAAGGAGCTTGCAGCCGCTGAGAAAGGTGCAGAAACAGCCGGTCGCTGCCTTTTCGCCTGCATCTCTAATCAGAATCACAGCCAGCGAAAGGAGCACAGAGCCCCTGGATTTGGCAGGCAGAGCCCGTTTTCCCCACCCTGGCTCCTGAGAGCTGCTCCTGGAACGGATGCACAGCCATCTGCCAGAGGCTGGGCGTGGGGTGGGTGCCACCACTCAGCTAGGCCTGGGAACTGACCCAGACTACCTGCAGTTTTGGTCCAGGTCTTCCTCTAGAAGTTATAAGCCTTCAGCAGACTCTAGGATGTCAGAGTAGTACCAGCAGACGGGTTCTGCCTGTATAGCCTGTCTAAGTGGATGCTCCTTTTTAAGAATTATTTATTTTGGGGACCAGCAGATGGTACAGCGATTATGTCGCTGGACTCCCAGGTAGTCCACCACAGTTTGAGTACTGGTCCTGGTGGCTTGAAACGTGCAGGGTGCAGGTGTGTGCGTGCCCGAAATCCCGACGGGACAGAGAAACGAAGGAGAAGGGATTGCAGCATGACCGTGCCCCGTTGGAGTTGCTTTTCCTGTCTGTCTGTCTCTCTGATGGGCACACATGCCCTCTAGCAATTAAATATTACAAATTAAGGTGAATCTGTTGAAAGGAAAGTGTTCAGTTCAGGTGGTGTGTGAGTGCGGCAGATGGCGTGTAGGAGTGATGAACACGAGCAGCCAAGGGCCAGGCGGGGCAGTGCCCTGTGACGCTGGGCCCACCTGGGGAGGTCTCAGCTCTGTCTCTTTGTCTCTCTGTCAAGGAAGAAACAAGTTAACGTAAAACAATAGCAGAATGACTATAGGTGCACCGTGGCTATCTTCATGCCCCTTGCAGTGCGCTGGCTGCCAGCTCCATGTGGGTTTGGTGGCGTTTGGGCAAGCTGGCCCGCCTGTCCTCTACCCCACGTGAGTGCTAGTCTGTTCCTTCCTTCCTGCCCCCAGAACGCTGTCCGAGTCCCACGGGACTTCGAGGGCTGCAGTGTCCTCCGCAAGTACCTCGGCCAGCTCCACTACCTGCAGAGTCGGGTCCCCATGGGCTCTGGCCAGGAGGCTGCTGTTCCTGTCACCTGGTGAGATTGGCACAGTAGGCGGGGAGAGCCTGAAGGGGGTGCACAGGACGGGGAGTGGCCTGGCATGGTCTTTCCAGGCCTCCTGCTCCAACACCACACTGGGAGCAGGGGCGGGCCCCATCCTTGGCTTCAGGGCCCTGGCCAGCTCCTGCTCTGAATGACGAGCATCTTGTCTGTAGGACCGAGATCTTCTCAGGCAAGTCTGTGGCCCACGAAGACATCAAGTACGAGCAGGCTTGCATTCTCTACAACCTCGGTGAGCTGCCCTCCCTCCCCGTGGCCCTGCCCTGTCCTGCCCACCCAGCATCTCAGCTCATTGTGGGACACAAAGGCTGTGGGCGGTGAAGGCGGGACCTGGGTTTAGACCCCCTTCTGCACAGCTCTGCCAGGCCGGCCGCCAGAATTGCCTCTGTGTGCTGTGTGCTCCAGCGGGGTGAGGGAGAGCCTCCCTGCTTCGGCTGGACACCCTAACACACACCCCTGTGGTTTGGGGCTGCCGCAGCTCAGCCTAGTGCGGGGAGAAGCATGGGCACTCCTGAGTCTCAAGGCTGGACCCCAGGCTGTGGACAGGAACCCCTCCTCCTCTGCTCTCTTCCCACCACATGCAGAGCGGGAGACGAGGGCTTGGCTGTCCCCCGAGGCTCCCTTTCACTCCAGCTGTGGTATCCGAGGCTCCCTGCCCTGCTCTCAGACCCGTGTTCTTGACTGTGGATGATAGCAGTGCCCCCTGCCTCACCCTGCCCCTCAGGCTCCCCTAACACATGTCTCCTGCCTCCCCAGGGGCGCTGCACTCCATGCTGGGAGCCATGGACAAGCGGGTGTCTGAGGAGGTGAGGAGGGGTAGGTGGGTGACACGCACACTGGGAGGGTGTCTTAGCCGCCTGCCTGTGGGAGTGGACACAGCCTTCCTCCCCACCCAGGGCATGAAGGTCTCCTGCACCCACTTCCAGTGCGCAGCGGGCGCCTTTGCCTACCTGCGTGAGCACTTCCCTCATGCCTACAGCGTCGACATGAGCCGCCAGATCCTCACCCTCAATGTCAACCTCATGCTGGTGAGGAGGGGCCTGGCTGGAGCGAGGAGATCGGGGTGGGACTGGGGGTGTGGTCTGTGGCCTGGGCCCTGCTCTGTGCAGGTGGTGAGCGACCAGCGGGGGCCATGGCTCTGGCCTAAGCGCCCTTTGGCCAGGAGCAGGGCAGTGCTTCTCGGAGCGGGCGAAGCCCCAGGAGAAAGGTGGCACAGGAGATCCTGCGGGCCTCCCGACCAGGGGAGCGGGGAAGGGAAGGGTGGAGGAGGCATGCACGGCTCCCGTCGCCCCAGGGCCAGGCTCAGGAGTGCCTTCTGGAGAAGTCGATGCTGGACAACAGGAAGAGCTTTCTGGTGGCCCGCATCAGCGCACAGGTGGGTAGGCACGGACTGAGGGGGGACCTCTGCCTGTGCCTGGCCCACCCCACACTGGCCGTCTCGGCTGCCAGGTGGTGGATTACTACAAGGAGGCATGCCGTGCCCTGGAGAGCCCCGACACCGCTTCCCTGCTGGGCCGGATCCAGAAGGACTGGAAGAAGCTGGTGCAGATGAAGATCTGCCACTTCGCGGCTGTGGCTCACGTGAGGCATGGGCCGGGCCGGTGGGCGGCACTCCGTTGCCCAGCTTCAAAAGCGGGTACCGACGTCCTTCTCTTTTTCCAGCTGCACATGGGGAAGCAGGCCGAGGAGCAGCAGAAGTTCGGGGAGCGGGTGAGTGGCTGTGGCGAGGGAGCCTCAGGATCGGGCCCAGCCTGGGCGACACCTCTACAGAATGGGGCAGGGGTCTCCTGTCTGTCTCGCCCCCACACTCCTGGCCCTCACCCTGCTGTAGGCCTCGTGTGCCTCATGTGTTGCCTTGTGGGTGCAGCCCTCGTCCCTTGGGGCCTGAGGTGGCGTGGTGGCGCCTCACGGCGTGGGTGGCAGCTGAAGGGTGAGGTAGGCTTTAATGCCTCTGGTGCCTGGTTACCCCCCTAAGCTTCTTGGGAGGAGGCTGTCCCTTGTCCCTTCTGTCATGCTGTTCCCTGGCAGTGGGACCAGGCAGGGCTGGGAGGCAGAGGAGTAGGAGTAGGCAGAGAGCGCTGGATAGGCTTTGCCTGCTGCCCTCACAGGTCGCGTACTTCCAGAGCGCCCTGGACAAGCTCAATGATGCCATCAAGCTGGCCAAGGTAGTGCTGAGGGAGGCTGGGCCGAGGCACGGGCTGAGGGCTCACTCCACTGGCCTTGGCTGGAGCTGAGGCCCGCCCATCCCTGCCCCACAGGGCCAGCCTGACACTGTGCAAGATGCACTCCGCTTCACTATGGACGTCATTGGGGGGAAGTAAGTCTGTGGGCTGGGGCGGCCCTGGTCCCTCTTATTACAAGTCTTGTCCCTCTGCTGCACCGTCAGAGGGAGCGCCTGTGCCAGGGAGCAGGACCCACGTGGACAGCCAGGTCCTGGGTCCCCACGGTCCCCAGTTCCTCACTCCCTACTCCTGACCACCAGGTATAACTCAGCCAAGAAGGATAATGACTTCATCTACCATGAGGCCGTCCCAGCCCTGGACACGCTTCAGCCCGTGAAAGGTCTGGGAGCTGTGGGGAGGCCAAGGAGGGGACAGAGGCTGCCCTGAGGCCTCCGTGGCCCCCAATTTGCCACTGTTCCTCCTGTCCCAGGAGCTCCCTTGGTGAAGCCCTTACCGGTGAACCCCACAGACCCAGCTGTGACGGGCCCTGACATCTTTGCTAAACTTGTACCCATGGCTGCTCACGAGGCCTCATCGCTGTACAGGTGGGTAGGAGGGTCTGGCCCTGTCCTCGGCATAAAGGGACATGGGGTGTCTCAAGAGGCACAGGCCCTCGACTACTTCTCTGTCTTCTGCAGTGAGGAGAAGGCCAAGCTGCTCCGGGAGATGATGGCCAAGATTGAGGACAAGAACGAGGTCTTGGAGTGAGTGTGTGATGGTGGGAGAGGGGTGCATACAGAGCTCTGGGGCCCAGTGCTGTGCGTCCACACCAGGTGGTCTCCCTCAGCCTTCCTGCCCAGGTCTCGGCTGAGATTTGTGAGGCGAGTCTCTGTCTGGGAGGAGGGCGACCCTTCTGTCCCCTCGTTTCCATGAGTGGGCATGTGTAGAGGTCGAGGTTGTAAATTGCCCCCTCCTGAGACTCAGACCACGCTTCAGTGGTGGGGCCTTGCCGCAGTGGGCTCCGTTAATGTGGAGGGCACCGGGTCAGCACCCACCTGGCCTGTGCCCTGCAGCCAGTTCATGGACTCGATGCAGCTGGATCCGGAGACGGTGGACAACCTCGATGCCTACAGCCACATCCCACCCCAGCTCATGGAGAAGTGCGCGGCCCTGAGCGTCCGGCCTGACACCGTCAAGAACCTCGTGCAGTCCATGCAAGGTGAGCGAGGGCCGGGCCAGCAGGTGGAGTGGGGAGTGCAGTCACCTGCTAGGGCCTTTTCCCTATGCCCGTCACCAAGGATGGTCACTGGCCCTCTAAGCCCAGGCACAGGAATGAATCCACCTCTGAGAGATGAGCCCTTTGGAGCTCACACACAGGCTCTCCCCTGAGTGGGCAGGTCTGCTGGCCTCAGGGGCTGCTCCATATACCCCTAGTGCTGTCGGGCGTGTTCACGGATGTCGAGGCCTCCCTCAAGGACATCAGGGACCTGCTGGAGGAGGACGAACTGCTGGAGCAGAAGTTGCAGGAGGCGGTTGGTCAGGCGGGGGCCACCCCTCCTGTTTCCAAGGCTGAGCTGGCAGAGGTGAGGCGGGAGTGGGCCAAGTACAAGGAGGTGCACGAGAAGGCCTCCTTCACCAACAGCGAGCTGCACCGCGCCATGAACCTGCACGTCGGCAACCTGCGCCTGCTCAGCGGGCCACTGGACCAGGTCCGGGCTGCCCTGCCCACACCAGCCCTCACCCCAGGTGAGCCTTCCTGCCTGCAGGGGAGTTTGGAGCCGGGGCTTTCTCTGGCCTCACTGACCTCCACTGCCCCCAGAGGACAAGGCTGTGCTGCAGAACCTGAAGCGCATCCTAGCCAAGGTGCAGGAGATGCGGGACCAGCGCGTGTCCCTGGAGCAGCAGCTGCGTGAGCTCATCCAGAAGGATGACATCACCGCCTCCCTGGTGACCACAGAGCACTCCGAGATGAAGGTAGGTGGGGAGGGCCGGGCCCCTGGCTGGGCCCACCTGGGCAGTGAGGCCTGAGTGTCCACCCCGCCCCGGACTCCTTAGAAGCTGTTCGAGGAGCAGCTGAAGAAGTACGACCGGCTGAGGGTGTACCTGGAGCAGAACCTGGCTGCCCAGGACAACGTCCTCCGCGCGCTCACTGAGGCCAACCTGCAGTACGCAGCCGTGCGGCGGGTGCTTAGCGACCTGGACCAGAAGTGAGTGCCTGGCCTTGCACTCACGCAGAGCCCCGCCCGGAGCCCCGTTCCTGCCGCTCACCTCCGCTAGCCCTTTTGCCCGCCAGGTGGAACTCCACGTTGCAGACCCTGGTGGCCTCCTATGAAGCCTATGAGGATCTGATGAAGAAGTCTCAGGAGGGCAAGGACTTCTACGCAGACCTGGAGAGCAAGGTGGCTGCTCTGCTGGAACGGGCGCAGGCCACCTGCCAGGCCCGTGAGGCCGCCCGCCAGCAACTCCTGGACAGGTGGGTGTGGCTCCAGGGCTGGGGTAGGGCTGAAGCCCAGGCCAGCCACCTGAGCGGTCAGGCCCCACTTCCTGCATGTCCCACAGGGAGCTGAAGAAGAAGCCACCGCCACGGCCCACAGCCCCAAAGCCACTGCTGGCCCGCAAGGAGGAGAGTGAGGCGGTGGAGACGGGAGATCCCCCGGAAGAGCTGCGCAGCCTGCCCCCAGACATGGTGGCTGTCCCGCGACCGCCTGACACCTTCCTGGGAACTGCCGCCCCACTCCACTTCACCCCTGGCCCTGGCCCCACTGGCTTAGGACCCCATTACCTCTCAGGCCCTCTACCCCCTGGGGCCTGCCCAGGCCCTGCCCAACTGCTGCAGCCCAGGGTCCCTGGGGCCCCGACAGTGCCGATGACCGCTGGGCCTGTCCTCTACCCAGCCCCAGCCTACACGCCAGAGCTGGCCCTTGTGCCCCGATCTTCCCCACAGCATGGTGTGGTCAGCAGTCCGTATGGGGGGGCAGGGCCACCTCTCCCAGTTGCAGGTCTGCCGTCTGCCCCACCACCCCAGTTCTCAGGCCCCGAGCTGGCGCTCGCAGTTCGGCCAGCCACCACCACAGTAGATAGTGTCCAGGCCCCCATCTCCAGCCACGGAGCACCACGGCCACTCCCTGGCCCCACACCTCCCCAGCCCTGCTTCCCAGTGCCTCCGCCACAGCCACTGCCCACGCCCTACCCCTACCCTGTGGGTGCCAAACAGCCCCTCACTGTACCCCCTGCCCAGCATCACTTTCCTCCTGGGATCCCCACGGGTTTCTCAGCCCCACGACTTGGGCCCCAGCCCCAGCCCCATCCCCATCCCCAGCCCCAGCCTTCACGAGCAGCGTTTGGGCCTCCACCCCCACAGCAGCCCCTTCCACTCCAGCATCCACACCTCTTCCTGCCCCAGGCCCCAGGTCCCTTGCCCCCACAGCCCCCCTATCCCTTTGCCCCTCAGCCTGGTGTCCTGGGCCAGCCACCACCTGCCCTGCACATCCAGCTCTATCCAGGCCCCTCTCAGGACCCTCTGCCTGCCCACTCAGGGGCTGTGCCATTCCCTCGCCCTGGGCCCCCTCAGCCTTCCCAGCCCCCCCTGGCATATGGCCCTGCCCCTAGGCCCCAGGCAGCTCCTCTCTCCATTCAAGGTCCTCCGCCTACTGGCCAGCCCACTCCTAGTCCCCACCTGGTGCCTTCACCTGCCCCGTCACCAGGGCCTGGCCCAGTGCCGTCTCGGCCCTCAGCAGCAGAGCCTCCCCCGTGCCCACGCCGGGGTGCTGCCGCTGCAGGCCTCCTATCCT